CCATAACCCTTGTATCYCATCCTCAAACTTGATTTTGATTCCAGCAAGCTGATTAATGTACCTTGGAATGTATTCAAGTAATCTGGCATAGGTGTACCATCTTGATAYTTCAAAGTCATCATTTGCTTGATCAGAAACATTTTATTATTGCTAGTTTTCGGGACATATAACAACTCAAGCTTGTTCCACATAGTCCGTGCATGTGTTTCTTCTCCAATATGATTTAGAATATTTTCTTCTACCTAATGTCTAAAAAAACCACAAACTTTTCTATGACATATTTCCCATTCTAAACCAGTTTTATCTTCAAGCTTCTCAAGTGAAAAAACAGGAAGATAAAAATCCTTCACATATAAAACATCTTCCATCTTCCTTTTCCAAACTTGATAATTTGAGCCATTCAAGGTCACTATTCTACTTGTACTAGTTTCCATTGTTCAACACAAGACCTAATTAATTTTTAACTTCGCTCTGATACCACTTTGTTGGGATAAACACTTAACTTTATGGACTAATTATCTGCTMTTGTGTGAACCTGATAGGAAATAACAAGTAAAAATAATAATTCAAACAAGCACAGGACACAAACAATTTTAACGTGGAAAAACCCTCTCAGTTTGAGGAGTAAAAAAGCACGRACCGAAGTCAAAATCTCCACTATAATCAATAATGGGTACACCAAGTTCTCCCTAGCACCAACTAGAGGCATACAATAATAATATCTCGAAACAATAAATCTCGGCAAACAAAGGGAATAAACCGGGGAAGAAAATTAGAAAGATCTCACTTTGAAACTGGCACCAACTACCCACTGTATCTGACTGTAGGCAGCTTCAAAAGAAATCTCCACCGTCCAGATTAAAGACCCTCGTGTTGTGAACACGCTATCAACCTCGATCGAACCACTTATCGACCTCCGATCGTGCAAAAAATGCTACTGTACGGAATGAATTTATTTTCCCTTTTTCTTTTCTATTTTCTCTCCTCGATCTGCGTGCAGAAACTTTTCCCTCTCTGTCCTCACAATGTGGTAGGCGACTGCACATGTGTAATATATATATATATATATCTAAATCCTAAAAGTAATTGCCCATTTGGGCCTAAAATTGTTGGACTTTCACACATGTGAAAAATACCCAACACTTCTGAAGAGCGTTCAAAAGAAACATGTTTCATTACCTTAATTAGCAAACGAGGGAGAGGTAGTGGAATGTTCAAACACTTAGAATAATTTATGCTTCTTCAAAATTGAATAAACAATTGCATTCATTTATTGTTTTTATAGTTTGTATTACTATTTTTCTTACTATTTATGCATATTTACCTCTTGTCTTTTTTTTTTATGAAATTATTCTTATTTATGGAGATTTATACTTCTCGTTCTCAAATTTATAGATGAAGGAAGAATCTCAAGTAAACAGTTGTTTGAACCATTCTCCTTGGATTTACTTATGATTATTGATTCTCAATCTTTGATTTACGTGGTTTTATGTATATTTATCTAGCTACAACTATTATAGAGATAGTTTTCCTCTCGTTTATGGATTTATAGAACTATTTTTATTTACCTATGTTGTTTGTAATCATAGTTTCTAAATTATGAAATTTATTTTTTTGTATATAGGCTAACTACATCAATAATATTTACCTCTCGTTTTACTTAGAATTACTTATGATCATCCACTCTCAATCTTTAATGTTATTTACCTAAGTGTAAATATCATCGAGTTATTTATATGTACACATTGGTGAAATTTGTGCAAATAATCAACAATAAATATGCAAGAAACCAACATAAATATAAAACTAACTAGATATTATTTAATATAGATGGAAATATAAATGCAAATATMATTGAGGCATTGAGCATATATACACATTGGTGAAAATTTGTGACAATAATCTAATGTAAATATACAAGCAAATAAAAATATTAAAACTAAGCTAAGCTTTTTTTTTTTATACAGAGGAAAATATAAGTGCAAATATATTGGGATAGTTAGTCACATATATACATGGGCAAATAATAGATTAAAATTTGGAATTAAATCTATCAAGAAAGATCCAAAATTAAATTAACACTAAAATTGTAACGCCCCGAGTCCCTCAGGTTAGTTGGTCTCGAAACAGGAGATTTTTCATTTAATATTAAATTGATTGTTAATTAAATTTATATATATTTATCGGGCTCTAAAAATCCAATTAAATTAATATTTACCGAACTTTGTATGTTGGGTCTTGTTTTAAGGGAATGGAATCCTTCTTCTTCGGGCTTGGATGATTACGCTTTCATTGAGGGAAAATTTGTTTTA